GTAGAGGACATGGTGTGCAATTTTGTGGGAGAATAGACAAAAGCACATCAGAGAAGGGATGGGAAAGCTAGGTGCCATCTTTTCCAGAAGCTGCTATTTGGGTTGGGCTTGCCTGTTCTTATCAGAGTGGCAGGGGGTTGCCAGGTCTCCCTCTGAATGCCCTAATGTCAAGGCATGAGGAAAGCAGAAAGAAAAGCTTTTCATACAGAAGCTTCACTGATAGATTTTTGGGTCAGAATCTGTTAATGATAGATTAATTACGGAATGATCAGTTACCCTTCTGGAGCAGGAGCAGCATCTATGACTCTGAACAAGATTAAACCTTATGTATTTCCTGCCTAAAGCTTAAGCCATCCAGACAGTACACAGAACACACTGGGAAGTCTGGAAGGATAACAAGCCAGAGATACCTTTAAAACAATGTGTTAATATTATTGTCATCTTGCTTCTTTTAAGTGCTATAATACAGGACACTTCAGAAGGATCTGAAGGGCTGTACTTTGATGGCAATGAGCAGCAACATAAAAATAGAATTGGATAGCTATAAAAGATAGTGATAACAAGAACACAGTGACTTTAGTGAAATTAGTTCTCCTCTACTTTTGAGCTCAGACTGTCGTCTGCTAACTGGCAAATAATTTATATTTCACAGTCTATTGACTTATGGGTACTATCACTGCTTTCATTAATATTGTAGGTGGACATATGAAGAAAATGGACTGGAAAAGCACAGATTTTAATTTTCACCATAAACATAAAAAATTAGCTAACCAGACAAAACAATAATTCAGAAAAAAATCAAGTAAATTAAGAAAGGTATACTTTTATTTTAAGATACATGCTTGAAAAATTTGTCTGCAGAAGAAGTCTCATTTAATCATCCTGTTTAACTCAGTCGTGTTTCTGCTGAGTGTGCCCTTGTCAAAATGCCAATACTCTGCCATGTTTTATTAAGCCTGCTACTGCCGATTCTTCCGCTGTGAGCGCTGGATGGAGCTAGTGCCAGACAGGCTATGTTTATGGTATTTCTGCTATGTCTGTGGCGTTTCTGGCAAAGAATTACCTGATGAGTAAATATTTTTTGTGGTATAGACAAGATGCAGCAAAGCTGCTGATTATTTTGTGAAAAGATGTACTGTTTGTAGTAAATTGGATATGTAACAGCAACTACTTGGGCCTCATGCACAGTAGTGACAGAGCTGGGGGACTGATATTTATGCTTTGCTATAACCCTGTGTCCTGGTTTCAGCTGGGTTAGAGTTAGTTTTCTTCTTGGTAGCCGGTATGGGGCTGTGTTTTGGGTTTAGGATGAGAACAATGTCGATGATGCACTGATGCTTTGGTTCTTGCTAAGTAGCGCTAAGCTGTTGCTAAATAGGTGCTAAGCGGCGCTCACACTGGTCAAGGACTTTTCAGCTTCCCCTGCTCTGCCAGG